GGGGCATGTACCGTGATTTCTTTTTCTTTTCTTTTCCCTACAATCAGCTGGTAGTATTCACGTATTCATGCAGGGATGGCTTTAGGCTCAACGTCATTGTACGCACATTTTTCGTTAGGATATTATGTGTATGCGTGTTTGTATATCTGTGTGTGTGTGTGTGTGTGTGTGTGTGTGTGTGTGTGTGTGTGTGTGTGTTTGTGTATGTGTGTGTGTATGTGTATGTGTGTTCGTGCATATGAGTGTATGTATGGGTGTGTGAGTGTGTGTTTTCGTCTGTGTGGTGTATTAGAGGCAGCAATCAAATACAATCAACTGTTCGTTTACAACATCAAAAGGCCTTTTCCCCGAGGGTTTGGGCGGGACGGGGGAGTGCTGTGATTTTTTGGGTTCTTTTCTTTATGCAATCATCAGCTGGTGGTATTCACCTGTTCAAGCAGAGATCGTTTTGGTTTTAGGCTCAAAGTCACTAATTGTACACACACACACATTTCGCTCTGTGTGTGTGTGTGTCTTTCTGTCTGTCTGTCTGTCTGTCTGTCTGTCTGTCTGTCTGTCTGTCTGTCTGTCTGTCTGTCTGTCTGTCTGTCTGTCTGTCTGTCTGTCTGTCTGTCTGTATGTCTGTCCGTGCGTGTGTGTTCGAGTCTTAGTGCTGTCCTTTAGGTTAGAGGTCGCAATCAACATACAACTGACTGTCCGTTTGCTACGTCAAGGCGCTTTTTTTTCTTCAGAGGGCGTAAGCCGTGTTTTTTTAAAGGGGGGGGGGGGGTTGTTTGGGGGTTGTTGTTGGGTTTTTTTTTCTTTCTACACAACCATCAACTGGTGGTGTATGTGTGTGTTTGTATGTGTGTGTTTGTGTGTGTGTGTGTGTGTGTGTGTGTGTGTGTGTGTGTGTGTGAGAGAGAGAGAGAGAGAGAGAGAGAGAGAGAGAGAGAGAGAGAGAGAGAGAGAGAGAGAGAGCATGTTCTTCTGGAGATCAGGCACGCCCCCCAAATGGACAAAGTCTCAGCAACAAGCCAATCAGGCCTCATTCATCAGAAATTGTTGCCCAAGGAAGAATTACGTCACTATAGAGTTCGTGTTTGTACGCCACTTTCAAGATGGAGTCCACCAGCGGCTGTTCTAAAAATAACAATAATAGGATTAAGCTTACTTGTAATATTTTGGTTAGTTATTAGTAGATTCTGAAATAGACAATGTGTGCGTCATTATAACCCAGATTTCCCCACTTGAGTGACGAAAATGTTTGTTGTACTATGTTATGAGTTGAGCCGGTTGGGTGTTTACTGGATGGAATAACAGTTGCCTGTGGTTTGGATTAGATTATCCACGGTAAATTGAAAATGCCCCTTTGGCAATATGAAATCTGGTAATCTAGGGGCCTACTTGTGTGCGTGTAATGTGTGCGTGGGTGTGTGTGCTTGTGTGTGTGTGTGTGTGTGTGTGTGTGTGAGTGCGTGCATGTGTATGAGTGTGTGTGTGTGTGTGTGTGTGTGTGTGTGTGTGTGTGTGTCGCGTGCGTGAATATTGTTCGTACATAATGCATTTATGTAAAGCGCCTAGAGCTGTGTTTACACGGGAGTGGGCGCTATAGAAATGATCTTCATTATTATTATTATTACTCTTTAACTCATTGCGGGTCCACATTCTGCTTATTCAGCAACGTTTAAAGGCACATCTTGTACGGGCACCTTGAAAAAGAAGCATAACTTCGTTATTCGTAATTTTGATTTTTCAAGTCTATTTGGTTCATCTGAAACTTGAAAAGGAGGGCAACAGCAATTTTTTTGTAAAATATGCGAACTCGTGTTTCTGATTTATGTCAGGTATGAAATGTGCAGCAACATTGTTTTTGGTCTGTCTGCTTCTTTAAGACGTATGTGTCCACTACGACCTTAAAGACTTAACTATCGGTTTGTGTTGTGTAATGGGTAGGGTCTTAGCCGTGTTTCTAAAAGACTACGATTAATTCCCAGGTAGAGATTTTTGCTGTCGCACGCAGGCGAGACCCGAATTCGATTTCCGAGTGGAGAGAGATTTTTTATCATGTATATCCGTCTTTCTTTTGTTATGTTGTATGTATCCCTCTCAGCCTGGGATGGCCCTGATATGTAGAGTCTGAAACCTGCCTCCTAAATTATCTAAATTGTGTTGATGGGGGTGTAAAAACACCTATATTAACAGCTCATAGCTAGCCAAATTAAACCCTTTGATCCTGGCGGCAAAATGTTGCAGAAGGCCAGCGCGTAACAATTGAGTAAGGGACTGCAAGAGGAAGTTATACAGTTCCAAATCGAAGCGGCGTCTTAATGTCCTCGCTGTTCATTGACAGATTTGTTTCCCTCACGATCTTCGGTGTGTGTGTGGGG